AGAACTGAGCAAGATGTGTACAAATGTTCAAAAGGAGAAGGGGTTGGGAAAAGGGGAGGGAAGAATCGTATAGCAGAAGTTAGTGGGCAGATATGGGGGAGAAGGAACAGGGGAGAATCCAAAGGAGACTTAAAAAGATGGGGTGATCAAAAGCATAGATGAATGTTAATCATATTTAAAAAACTCCACTATATAAATGAGTAGGTAAAACACAATGTACATGAGTGAAGCACAATGTATGTGAACAATTTAATGGAGCTTTGACTTTGGGTTAGTGGCACAACTTGCTACAGAATAGAAATAGTATAAATATCAAAACAACTAGCAAGCATAGTGTGCTTGCTAGGTCTCACAGGAGACTTGCTACAAGTTATCTTTGAATGTATCTTTGCATTTACCATACATAGAAAAAGGGGGGAAATTAAAGTCTCATTGATCTTGATCCTATGTAATATCAAATACCCGTGTGCCTTCATTTATAATCCTAAAGTACACATAGAGATAAAAACAGATTTATCATAGTGTCTCATGGTGTTCCAGGATTAAAAGGAAGAGAAACACATTTACATATGATGTGGCCGAAGACAAACTTGGCTTCCTTTGAATTTTGCTTTTAGCAAGATATTCATCACATGCATTCTTAAAAAAAAAAAAATTCACACCCTTACATACGTCCCTATTCCCTCATTTTTTAGTGAATATTTTAGTGTACTGGGAGAATTAAAAAAGAACTGTGCAAACTAAAAACATTGGCAGTTTAAACCACCAAAATAGGTACCAAAACAGTCATTAGTCATTATGCTTGAAATGCTTGAGATTTGTATGAAGGTGGTGAAGATCCTACACAAAAATATGATAATCACGCAGACAATAGACCGAAACGTAGGTCTCATCACCCAGCACAGAGACCCCAGGGTGGGACTCAGGGCTCATATGACTGAAAAGCCGAGGACAGATGACGTGTTAAATTAAAAATGAGCACATCTTGCTTGCCAAAAGTAGAGTCTATTTCTACACACCCTTTGGACCTGGGTTGGCTTAGCAAAAGAATGTGGCAGAAATGATGGTTGAGCCAATTGTAGATACTAGCTTCTAAGAAGTCTAGAAGCTTCTGCTTCTCCCTTGATGAAGCCAGCTGCCATGTAAGAAGAGTAACTACGCTGAGCTGAAAATGTCATCATGCCAATAGTAGCATTTTATATTCTTGTCAACAATCGAAGTTATTATAAAAGCCAAGTTGTATACCAAGCAGGAAATCCCACCTCAACTATGGAGTCTTTTTCAAGTTGTTCTTCCCTCATTGGTTCCCCCTGAGGTTCCTATCAAATCTTTTGAACTGTTGTTGCCAATTTGATCTCATATAGATAGATGTTGAAAGAGTGTGATATTCAACACAGACATTCTTTACTAGTTAAGGAGAACTATTACTTGGTTTTAAGAAGACTTCAGGGTATATTTTGGCTTAAGTTTTTCCAGTGTTGTGTACCATTGAGTCACAACCTACTACTCATAGCTGACCCCTCCAGCAGCTTTTCGGAGGCAGTAAACTGCACAGGAGAAGACTGCCCATCTTTTTTCTGTGGAGCAGCTGGTGTATTTGAACTGCCTATCTTTGGGTTGGCAGCACAGTTCTTTACTACTAAGCCAACAGATATCCCCTAACTTCCAAGTTTTTCCAGAAGAATTTTTAATAGCTGATGTTTTGGAAGTAGATCATCAAGCCTGCCTTCCAGGGCTTCTTTGGGAGGGCTTGAACTTTTTGGCGAATAGCCCACTGGTTTGTTTGTACCATTGTTTAATTTGGATATCTTTGACACTGTTTTTATAACATGTAAAGTCAAACCACCTTATACACAATCTTTTAGAATCCCAGAGGGTCATTAATGAAGGTAGAACACTAAAATTATTTCTAATAGTAAGAAATGATGCTGCCTTTAAATGCTGGTATTAAATGTGCTGACACTCATAGTGGAGGAAAAAGAGAACTTGCTATCTAATTGCAATCCCTTCCCAAAAGTCACTGGTTGCAATTCAAGAGAAGGTGCTACAGCAGCAAATTACACAACTTAGTTGAAATAAACAAACACTCTACTTTGGAACCCAAAGTGTTTTCAGTATAGATTTTTCATAAGAGTATCAAACACATATAATCTGACAAACTAATGAAAACAATGTACTCCATTTCTTTTTGTAAAAAAACACAGCAATTAATGAAATCATTATGAATTTTTTTTAATTTAGGAAAGACTTATTTTTTTATTTGATGCCTGGCTGAGACTAGATCAAAACTATGCCAATGGAATGAAACAAACAAAACCTTCATCAATTTACTTTAATAACCTGTATCCAGAGTTCAACTCCTTGTAGTGCACTGTATCCTACAGTACTTATGTAGATAATAATTCTTTAAAAAGAAAGCTCAAAAAGACTGAACTGGCTTATCCTAGAGAATAAGAGATGATGAAAAATAATTTTTACTCAACATCTTTTTACTGTAATCAAAGGCAACAGAAAAGAACCAAGAGTCTGGTACCACATAAGCACTGCTGATCACTCGAGGAACTCCAGAAATTGTAATGCTAAATCTATAGTCAATGACCTGTGCAATGAGCATCCGAGCACCTCGCGTGTGCAGTGAGAGAGGCTCGGTGGGCTAGATGAGTGTGACCCTGTCTGATGCATGGGTCTCCTACAGGACATCGCTATCAAAAGTTACCAGAATACTTTCTATCAGCCCAAAGCTCTATTCCCCACCCCCTTCTTATCCTTTGAACATACTGCAGTCTCAATTTCACATACTGCATAGTTTCTGTCTTAGAGAGATCACAGTCAGCTTTCGTCTAAACAAATTTCTTCTCATGCTTCTTAAGCAATAACACTGACGGCTAATACATATCATTGACTTCTTAAAAACTCTTTCTGGATTTTATGGCAATATATGCTGTGAGAAGGAGCCTTAGGATGTATCTGACCTCAACCTTGGACCTTCAAGTCCTTTTATCTAGAAATAGGTCCTATGAGAAGTAAAAAACTCAGTCAGGTACATGGTGAAAATGGACCAGTTCCTCCAAGAACATTTTTGTCAAATAAAAATAGTGTGACTTTCCATCTTTCTGTGTTTCTGAAGAGACGGCAGTTGTTAATGTTGTGTGCCATCAAGCCAGAACCAACCCAGAGCTGGTTCTCCAGCAGGTCTGCAGAGGTAGTAAATCGTAAGGGAGGAGACTGCCCATCCTGCTCCTGCAGAGCAGCTGGTGGATTAGAACCACATGCCTCTGGGATTGCACTGCAGGTTCTTACCACTAGGCTACCAAAGCCTCCTCAGAAACAGAGCTTCTTTCTCTATTTCTGAAGAGACAGCAGTAGCATACCAAAATCATCAAATACAGTAGACAAAGAAATAGAGCAATTAACTAACAGGTTCACTCACCTGACCAAAAATAATCAGGAATTAAGGTAATGTAACCACACAATTACTCACTGAAGATACACGGTCCCTGTTTGATTCTTCAATGAGGTCTTCTGTCCCCCAGGTTAACAACTTTTCATTGTGCTTCTTTAATTAGGGTGAGTCCACTATGATGGCCCTTGGACCAATTAACTGAAGTTCATCTGCCATGATACCAGTAGGTGATGGCTTCCCTTGTACTCAGGTAAAATAAAATTTAAAGACTCATGTATTAATGAAGCCAGAAGATTCATGTGGTCAATTAAGTATGACCCAGTGACTTTCAGCATGAAATTGCATATTATGTTGCCACAGTGCCAAATCTGGTACTTGGAAGTCAGCCACCAGGGTTCTGCTTTGTGCCATTTTCAGAAGTCAGCAGATTTTAAATGCAGATCAGGTGAAACTTTGTGGTAGCATTAAACAATAAAAAGAATAGGCAATGCCTTGCAACTTAAAAACAAATTACTTAAAGTGCGGAGCTAAAAATTGGTTTAACTTGAATTTAAGTAATTTAGGTCAAGTTATGTTATTTAGAATTTATGACATTTCTCCACTAAAAATAATTAAGGAAATCTGATCCGATTTAAAAATGTTCACCTTAAGTGTGTATTTTTTAAAAGTTAAAGCAGTCTCAATTCTATATACCTTCATGATCAATCTATATTGTGCTGCTTAAAACAAGAGAGTTTAAAATACAAAATGCATACTTTAGGCCAGTCTTGAGTTATATAAAACCACATGGTTCATAAGTAGGAATGAGACAGATGTCCATCTTAATTTAATAACCAACCTTAAGTTTAAGTGAAATTAATGTTTTCAAGTACTGAAATGTCAATTACTATTTGGTGCATAAAAATAAGGACAAGAGATTTGATGCCTTTGATATGAATTCATTTCTATGTAGTGATTAACCAAAAACAATATCGCCTGAATTTGGCTCACAGGATTCAATCCATGAGATTCACACTTCCTCACTGGATGAGAAAGCATCTAGTCCTCATCAAACTGTTATGCTCACCTTTCGATTATACTAGCACTACAGAGCTAACTTTCCATTTTAACATTGTATCTTTTAAATTTTAAAGATATAAAGAGAATTATAGGAATGCACTTAAAGTGCTGAGTTAATCTGTAATGTTACTGATATAATAAACCGTTTCACATTGACTTTTTACTACATTTTACATCCCTCTTCATTATCTTGGACAATAATTCCAGGAACCATTAATTTTGGTGCTTTAAAAATATTTGGGACATTTCATTATTGTCATAGCAGTATTGATATGACATGTAATTTTTTTAAATGATGAACAAGTGACTGTCTTTAAAGAAAATGTCTTCAGATATATATGAAAACTTCCAAAGCATCTGGTATTTATTGCAATGTTTGTGACATTTACCTACTCACCTTTTTTAGATGGCTTGGGTGGTACAACAGGGCCAGGTTCTATGTTGTCATAAAAATTATTCATGGCTTTTGGATCAAAGTTCCCTATAAAAAAAAAAAGCCACCGGGGTTTAGGATTCTTTTTCCTGTTATTGTCTTTTTTTCAGGAAACTATGGAAATAAAACATAAAAGCAGAGAAACTGTCAGGGTTTCAGAACTCATTATATTATCCCAATTGCCTCCCATTGGCAATGTGCTTGCTTTAGCATTGTTAGAAAAGACCCAAGAAAACTACCACCCCAATGCTTGACTCCATAGTATCACCTGAAGGAATAGTTCTCAAGGAGAGTTGAGGCTAGTCTCCCTAGGCAAGAATCATCATGTGGGACACATCTAATGGAGAGAGATGAAAAGAAAGCTAAACATTTTCTCTTTCTACTTTCTGATTTTAGTGACCAAATGGTGTCCTTCACAACTGCTTCTCAATTTTATCCATTATAAATTTAACTATGGTGGCAGCTAAGTACATAAATTACAAGGGTTAATAAGCTCTATTTTAGGATATCTAAACAACCAGGTAAACATGAAATGACATCTATAGTTCACAGATGTTCAATTCTTAAGGCGAATCTTAAATGCTGCCTACGGATCTGTCCATGATAAAAGATGATACGGTGCCAGTTTTAGAATAATTGGAACAATCCCTAGAGTTTCCTTGCTACAGAATTTTCACTCCAGCCACTTTTCTTGTTATGACTCCTTTAAGGCAGATCCAAGTTCTGGCTGTGTGGTCACCTTCCTTTAAGGCTGTCACTGTAATCTGACTGCTAAACATAATTCAATTGGGCATTCTGCTGTTGTGTTGTAGTGCTTATTTTCCGAGCTCTACTGGCACAGTCTGTAAGAAGCTGCATTGTTCACCCAAAGATCATCCTTCTCTGGTGGTTTCAATCCACTAATGGCTTCTCCGGAGAAAGATGGGCAGTCTTCTCTCTTGTGAGTCACAGCTTCTGAAAACCCACCAGAGGGTCAGCTATGGGTCAGTTCTGACTCTAAGGCAAACAGCCCTACTGGTGTAGTGCATTACATATTGGCTCCCTAACTGAAAGGGTAAATGTTTGAATACACCAATTGTTCCTTGAGAAATGAGTGCTTTCTCAACCCATGAGGGGATCTGAATTACATGAGATGAAGCAGTCTCCTTTCATAGCGATTTACAGCCTTGGAAGCCAGATGAGGGTTGTTAGCAAGTCAGCAATGATTTGAAGACAGTGGGGTTTGATTTTGGTGGTAATGCTTATTAAATGCTCCTCATAGAGGAGACTGTGGCACTGACAGTTTAAAAAAGTCTTCTTATTGTAGATCTAATTTTTCCCCCACCAAATTTTCCTTACCAAACCAATAATAAAACTGCTTTTCAACAAATCATTCACTGAGAATTTCATCTAGCTTAAATATCCAAAGTAATACCTGGCTTCCATCTCTAGCTTAAAAGTTATAAATTGGAAATTCTCTATAAAGTTTGCAGAGAGTGGAAGGATAGAATTTTGTATTAAATTGTATAAAATTTTGTATAAAATTCAAGCCCCCTATGAAAAGAGATTTAGAAATGCTGAAGTACCAATGGCCATTGACCAATGCAGATAAAACACCGTTCTTAGCTTATAAAACCTTAAAAGTATTTTTTTCCTTTTGCACATATTATTACAAAAATTAGATCCATTTGCATATGCCATTTCATAATGTTCTAAAAACTCCTATGACAGTTTATGAAAGTCACAATAGTAACTAATACATTAATTGGATCTTTCTATGCTTTAAAATGTTGCAGATAAATTATTTCTTCAATTACTTTACAGCTGATGCTTTAGTTTTGAGATCCTGTAAGACTGACTATAAATACCTTAACCAAATAAGTTAGCATTTGTTTTCCTTCAAAGAACACATAAGCAAAAATTGATGCAACTGTTTGTTGCATTTGTTTGTGTAACTTCACTGTTACTCAAATTCACTCCTTAAGCGTGCAGAGCTAGTAGGCTTCTGAAAATAACTGAAAGGCTATCTGACTAGATTGTTCAGTTTTCATATTCTAAGTGGCATTTGCCTGATGTTAATTTCCTATTTCTTAGCATCACCTGCTTCTACTTAACACTGACTGAAAATGACAATAGGGGGATTTATTATATACTCTGAATATAGAGTAGAAGCTCTCTTAGCTGTTATAATTAAGAACAGTAATTGGTGGGTAAAAGGGGAAAAAAAGCTGATGAAAACAACTGTTAAGATAAATTACACATACAAAAGTGTTTTTTAAAGTAACAAGATATATACAGTAATATTTCTTTATTGGGCCAAGACCTTTTGTGTATGTGTATGCTGACTGCAGTTCTGTATTGTCTTTCTTACATAAACCACTCTGATGACTACCTGAAGGAGGAGGTCCACAAACTTTTTCCCATAAAGGCCAGCTAGTAACTATGGTAGGCTTTGTACACCTGCAGTGTTGCTACTGTTGCAACTACCTGACTCTCTGCTATAACACAAAGCAGTCACAGATATGTAAAAAGGCAAGGCTGTGTGCCACTAAAAAATATTTACAAAAATAAGCAATGAGTTTTAATTTATTGGCCCCTAGTTAATGGTTTCCGCTTGTGGTTTCTTTTGAATGGAGTAAAAAATGAACACTTATCAAGTACTTTAAGGGCAGAACCCTTTCTGATTTCCCCCTTTAACCCATTTTGGTTCTTTTCACTTAAATGGAAAACTATTTGTGATTTATCTTTTGAGTCTTCAGAAAGCATTCACCTATAGCTTTTATAGGAAGACAAGCTGCTGCTTCTGCATTCTTCTCAGTTTTAGAGTAACCAGCATCAACGGGTTTGGCAACAGACACAACTGAATTAGGGTATGCAGATAACTGATGGGAAGAGTAACAGTACTATGCCAGAGTGTAGTCTACTAGCCATGAGTGTGACACAGCTATGAACATTAGTTAGTCAGGGGTATATAAAAGAAATTAAGAATGCTTAATCTGGTGAGTTGGGTAAGTGAAAGTCAGTTAAGAGAGCTTCTACTATAGTGCACTCGTGTAAGACATCTAAAAGTACAAGATAAAGCTGAATGTTTTGTGTAATAGGTACACTGACCTAAATAAGAGCCTACAGAATTTATTTTAAAACTGGACTACTTGCCATTTTGATTTGAGAGCTCTACTTTTAACAGGTATTTCTGATGACTAGCACATAATAAGAATTTTGCTAAGTTTCCAAAATTAAAATACATCCATTTGTAAAATATTTATAATAAATGACTGAAAAAGTATAAATGCAGAGTAACAAAACAGAACTATCTAAATGATAAGAACTTAAAGGATAAAACTGCCTAAGTAAAATTAATTTCTTATCTCCCAAATCTGACCTATGAATAGGGGGCTGGGAGAGATAGGGAAAACCAGATTAGATTATAATCTCATAATGGATAAAAATTGTCTCTTCAAATCTGTAAAACCCAAATTAATGCTATTTAAGCAGTTTAAAATACCACACTATTACTTATGGTTTACCAAATAATCAAGTCTATACCTCTAGATTGAAGGAGGTCAACTTCTTTCAGTGTACAGTCAACATTTATCTGGAGTTGTCTGTTCATGCTTCTCAATCTTGTCATTTCCTCAGGCTAGTAAGAAAGGACCCAAAATAGCAATTGTGGGAAAGTCATTATCAAGCCCAACATTTTAAGAACTGCGCTTTATGTTAATCGTTCTGATTGGGTTGTACCAAGAATATGGCCTCAGTCTATAAGAAAGGGCACGTTTAAGAAGTACTATACCTCATGTTTTTAAAGGAATATCAGATAAATTGAGGGCTTCTGAGTGATTATATTTAAGTATTCAACAAAATTTTCATACAAAGTAATAAGCTACAACATAAGACTGTGTTCTATCACACAAAATACTATCACTTTAATGACACAGCTCTAGGAAAACTTTCTAGGTTTCCGTGGTTAGGGAAACTCTAAGAATGAACTTTAAAATAAAGAATGTCCATGATTTCAGTCTTATCCATACTGAGAAAAATGAAAAGGGTATTAATTTTGATGAACACAAACTAAGTGTCAAGCACTGTGTTTACCATAATTCTCTCTCCTTTAAGAAAGGTATACATGTATCTTCAATGTATGGATGAGGAAACTGAAGGACAGAGAGGTTAAATAATGTTCCCCAAAGTTATAAAGCTGGTAATCAACAGAGTCAGAATTTATATAGACATCTTATATATAAATCTGTACAGAAATTTTTGTTGTCTTTATCTAGATCCAATGAAGCAATTAATCCAGCTCATGAAAATTTCAGGAATGAATGGACTCTCTTTTTTCTCTCTCCAGGTTTGTTTTCTTCAGCCTTATCTTTTTAGCCTAATCCATTCTTTAGGATTCTCAGAGGCATAAAAAAGCTTTGAAATGTAAAGATTGTGAATCTTCAGTTCTGGTTTTCTAGAAGCCTTCACTCGCCTTAAGAAGGCCTGGTGGGGCAATGAGGGTGCAGTTCCACTTTGTCCAAAGATTGCTTTGAGTCAGAATTGACTCCATGGCAGTGGGATGGGTTACTTTTCTTGACATTCTTAAATTCTTTACATATATGTACAGTAAAAAAAATAGTCAAGGTTTAGAATCTAGAGACATAGATAATGACATTTTCAACAGAATCTAGCTAGTTTCCTTAGACTGCTAGGTATTAACTAAGTTATTAGGGCCATTTCACCTACAGAGGGTAAGAGATTAAACATTTTCTATTTTAGGAAGACAGAGTAAAATCCTACTGTGTTAAAAACACACATTTTGCTAAAAATGGAATGTTAATCTAACAGTGAAGAAAAGGTATCTTAAGTCACAATAATGTAGCATATTATGCTCTGAACAGAATTACTAGGAATGCCCATGGAAATAGCAGATATCAAAATTTTAAATAAGTGATATAATAAATAGGCAGAGTACAGTAAGAGCTACAATCCCACAGTATACTAAAATAACACCAAAAAAAAAATTTAGAGATATTTAGTAAGGATTACTTTTCTCATTCTCATGGCAAAAGCCACATGGCATTAAGATATAAAATGCTTAGCTGTGTTTATTAGACAATACTGAAATAATTTAAAACATACCTGAGCCTCTATATTAATTAAGAAAGTGTATTATATAGGGGCTCTAAAAAAGTGATCTTCTCTTAGGAACATGTGAAAGAATCTGATCTTTTCTTTGTAAAATCCTATTAGGATGGTCAAGCACCTGAAGGGGCTGATCTTTCCTATGTATTTTGGGGGTGAGGGGAGAAGAGATGCTTCAACCACAATGATCTTGGATACTGGAAGCTTTGTCAAGAGGCTACTGCACATTTACTTATAATTTGAAAGGGAAAAAAAATTCCTTACCAAAAGGTTCATTTCCAAAGATAGTAGACCCACTGGAGCTCATACATGTTTCTCTATAAGATTCCTATCTACTTTTTGATGGCTTCTGAATGGGTGGGTGGGCCTTTTTCTGAAAAGTTTACCATTTGAGTTTTTATAAATGAAGAGTTTAAAAATTTGCTCTGTAAAACTTAGCGAGATGCTTGGACTGTGTAGCAGGATGTTTACAATCTGACATTTCAAAAGGTAAAATGTTAAGGTTTCCTTTCAGTTTTTTCTTTTTTAAACATGTTACCAGAAATACCTCAGGTACTTTAAGAAATTGCCTCATACTATGTTCTCTATCTGCTTGGCCCCAAATTATTGATCTGGGACTCAAAGCTGTGAGTAGTCCAGAAACCCAGTTAGTCAGAACAGAAAGAATGAAGGAAAGTAATTTTGGAAAGAGAAGAACTGGCATCTTTATGCTTACTAAAATCTTATTTTCCTTCAGGTATAAAAGAAATCTCCCTTTCTATAAAACCATCTCATCCTTGAACTTTATTAGAGTAAAGCCTATCTCTGAATTTGAAGAGTACTTAATATCATTGTCATTCAGCTGACTAGCAATTCTGATGCATGTCTCACACTATCGTTACACTCACACAGATACAGAGGCAGATTCTTTTCACATACAGATCTCTTTAAAAGATGACACCTCTGACAGCATTTAATACAATGTTTTGCAAAGAGGAGATTGCTAGCTGTCATATAACTTGCAATTCTGTCCTCCTTAGGAAAAGATTATTCCACTCTTGCTCTAAGTCTCTGCAACTACCCACGTGTGCATCCCAGTCTCATTAGGCAGATACATCTCTAACCTATTTTGTCACTGACTGCTTGGCAAGAAAGCAGTTTGTTTGAAACCTTGAAGGTATTAATATGTGTGTCGAAGCAAAAACTCTCTATTGGTTTTGCTCCACAGAAGCTACATGTAGCAATAAGGAAAAGGATATCCATTTACTGAGCACTTAGTCTTTGCCACACCCTTTCTATATATTCTCGTTTATCTTGACACTAATATCGCAATGGACTTGTTATAATTCCCTTTGATAGTTAGGAAAATGCAGAGACGTGAGACCCAGGGGTATTCTCTCTGCACTGTGTCATAGGGCCTCAAATGAGTTTTCATGAACAAAAAGGGAATTCTAAGTCTTTTCTTTCTTGATTAATGTTCTTTGATAAATATATGCATGTTATACTTGTTTTTAAAAAGGGGGGGAAAGTTCTCTAAAATGTATTCAATTTGTATATATGTGTATATGTCCAAGGAGATTTTTGCAGTACTTAGTGACCTCTATTTTACAAGAATACTTTCTATTTGTTGGTCATTATATAAATTGCTCAACATGTGTTAGCTTATATAACCCTAAGAAAAACCCTGCATAATGAGCACAGTGCTGTACACATTTTAGAGATTGTAACTATAGAAAAAGATACTTATTCAGAGATGTATGAGTAACAAGTAGCAGAAGCAGGGTTCAAGCTGGTATCTAACTCAAAATTCGGCTGTCTTAACCACCATGTAATGCTGCCATAGCACCATGTACCCACTCAAATTTCTCAAATGTGATGACCCACATGAGGTGCTTGCTTCTGGAGCTGGGTGATAGCTACATGAGGATTCATTATGCTGTTCTTTCACACAAATCTTTAAAATTCCTTCTAATAAGGAGTTAAAGCTGTATTAGAGTCTCAGGTGCTAGTTTCACAGCCTTCCTCCCTGCTTCTTTTCTAAAGTGGTCTCATCAATAAGAGCTCTGCTCTAGTGTCTTCCTCCTCGAAGCACTAACCGATCCAATGTTAGCCAGTTCTTTACTCCCTCTGCCCCTCAAACAAAAACAACAGGGTTGTATTTAGCTGAGGTTGGCACATAAGCATTTGGTAAACAAAGCACATATAGTAACTTTAAAGAAATTACTTTTATGCCAAGAAAAAATGTTTTCCTGCTATCATAGGTATCTTATAAAGGACATTAAAATGCCCACTACAACACAGGTGGCTTTCTATATTGGCTACATGCTAAAATCTCTCTCCCAGTCAGAGAATTCAATTTCATATGGACAAAACATGAGAAATTATATTTCTATTAAAATCTCCTTTCATTTGAACATGTCTTTCTCATTTCTAATACTGTCTCAACTTAAGAAATTTAGTCAACATTAGAGATAGCTTTGGTAAATTACTGAATATGTTTCTCAATAATGTCTTTCTCAAATACTTCTATTGATTCCCTGTTAACAACAGAATCAAGTTCAAATACTACGACTTGTGTTCAGGAACTAAATATACACATTAACCTCTGTTAATCCATCAGAAGCAGTTAGATGATTTTTCCTTGTAAAATGCCTCCCCCTTTCTCCTCTGCCTATAGCAATAGCAGCTATCATTTAAGGCAACAGTTCTTTTGTTTTTCTTCACTCTAATGACGCCATGGAAAGCGATAAACCTACTTTCCATAGAAACACATATGAAGGTCTGCATATAATCTCAAGTAAGCTGTAAGATCCTCTCTGAAGCCATGAACCCATTAAAAAAAATTCCATATAAAGACCTAGCTGCACAGATGCTAAACGCAAGCAATCTGACATACATGCTGCTTCTCTAAACTCCTAAGATCCTACAAAGAAATATTATCCTCAGTTTGGAAAGGTTAGGAAAATGGGGAATGGCTCCGTGGGAAGGACAGTTTAAGCTGAGCCTTGAAGAGCAGACAGGATTGATAAAAGCAGAGCTGTAGAAGGGCATTTAGCAGGAAGACAATGTAAGAGAGTAGAGACATGCATAAACTAGCCAAAGTATGTGGTCTCTAATTACCAGTGAACTTACACAGCATTCACCGTGCAGTCCTATCTGTTGATGTATCAGGTGATGTACTATCTATTCTGTTCACTAGCATGTATGCCCTAATCACCTAGCATAGTAATGTTTGTTGAATAAATGAATGCTGAAAGGCAAACTGGGTTATAAGGGGAGCTGTGGTGGCCTAGTGGCAAGGAGCTGCAACTACAATCCCAGAGGCTCACGGTTTGAATCCACCAGATGCTCTGCCGGGGAAGGAGGGACAATCTCCTCCTGTACCAGTCAGATCTGATTTGACGGTACACTCACACACAAAAATAATAAAATAAAAAAATAAAATTAAAAAAAAAAAAGAAAGGCAAACTGGGTTACAGAAAGCTTGTGATGCCACAAGATTTTTAGGAGACATGTGAGAAAATGTTCCGTTTCGTTTAAGAACTTTAGGATTCATATATGTTAACATGTTAATAATGTATTGTCCTAATCTTTATATTGGGAGTACTTTCTATTAGGACTGCTATCTGTCAATATTGTTTTCTTAAGTTTCTTACGATTACCTGCACTTAACGAAATTGCTTTGCCTTAGAAAATGCTACGGTCAATACTTTTTCCAAACTCATATTGATTTCCTAATTCATTTGAATTAATGTACCTAGAAGAATAAGTTTGAAATGTTTTAATATATTTAAAAATATATATACATTTAGAAAAATTGATATACACACAGAGAACAAGTTATACAAAATATCTGGTCAGGGTGTGTTTTTCATTTCTATTTTGGCAAAAAGTAATCTAGAGTAAATGAAATGCTATACCTTGATCATCATCTGAGAATGTTGATGAGACTCTGAATATTACATATGCGAAAAATAAAGCATCAGAATGTTCCGACAAAATTACTGAAGATAAAAGAACTTCAACCATTGTTTTTTTTAAACCACCTTGTCTAGGGACAAAATGGGAAATCAAATGGACAAAGCTGAATGGTCCAGACAGCCAATCTGCACATTTCTCTCCACACATCCCAGGAGACCACTTACCGTTGGGATTGCAGTGTTGCAGCTGACTCTCCTAAGCCGTCTCTGCATCAGGTCATGCTCCATACTGTTAACTTCAGCCTTCAAGCGCTCTAGCTCCTCTTTCTCATGTTTCAACTGCTTTGCTAACCTCTCCATCCTTGCTCGCTGATGTAACAGCAAGGCTACAGCATTACAGATGAAGTCATTACAGGGGATAACATTGAACAAGTGACCTGACAATTTTTGTACACACTGCTAATGTTTAAAATGCTCATCAGGAACCTCAACACCCCACATTGGCCAGTATTTGCACTCATATCTTTCTAATGCTATTCGGCCTCAATATCTACTTTAATTTAGCTCTTTTAATGGCTACCAAAATTGCATCATATATGCCTGAGTCTTGTTCTGACATTTCTAGTTTCCCTAAGAGTCTCTTTAACTAAGATGCATTTTAAATATGTTTAACCCAAAGCATAATGAGTGACAATTGTAGCATTTTTCCTTTTTAAATATTGAAAAATACAACTTCTCATGTATCTTGAAATAGCTTTTTTCTGTTCTTTTCTTATTGTGTGCTGTCAAATCGGATCTGACTGGCACAGGAGGAGATTGCCCCTTCTTCTCCCGTGGAGCATCTGGTGGATTCAAACTGCATGCCTTCAGGATTGTAGCGCAGCTTCTTGCCACTAGGCCACCAGAGCTCCCTCTTGAAGAGATTTTTAATAAATTAATTCTCCAATATATTTAGGAAGGCTTACTATTAACTAAGGAAGCTCTGGTGACTTAGTAGTAAGGAATTGTGCTGACAATGCAAATATACACAGTTCGAATCCATGTGATTTACTGCCTCTGAAAACCTGCTGGAGAGTCACCTAAGGGTCTGACTTGACAGTATACCACCACCACAACTATTAACTAATGAGCTCTGGTGACTAAGTGGTAAAGAGCTGTGCTGCCATATCAAAGGCACACAGTTCAGAAGGATGGGCAATCTCCTCCCATGTGATCAAACTGCTTCTGAAACCTCTCTGGGGCGTCAGCTATGAGGCAGTTCCAAGTTGATGGTACATTACAATCATGACAACAACTATTAACTAAGGGAGTTCTGGTGGCTAGCGGTAAGGAACTGTGCTGTCAACCCAAACTTAAATGGTTTAAAATCAACCGGATGCTTCATGGGAGAAAAATGGGCAATCTCTCTTGTGATTTACTGCCTCTGAAAATCCACTGGAGATTCAGTGATGAGTCAGTTCTGAATTAATGGCACATGCAACAACTGTTAACTAAAGGAATCCTGTTGATTCCTTGTTGGGCTGCTAATTAAAAAATAAGTGAATCAAATCCACCAGCTACTCCACAGAGGAAAGATGGGCAGTTTCTACCCATAAAGATTTACAGCCTCAGAAACCCAATCATATGCCACTGAATCAGAAGAGGCTCATGGCTGATGCTCCAGCAGATTTTTAGGGGCTGTAAATCACATGGGAGGAGAGTCCCCATAGTTCTCCTGTGGAGCAGGTGGTGGATTCAAACCATCTACCTTTGGACTGGCAGTACAACTTCTTACCATTAGGCTACCAGAGATCCCTTTGAGACCCAATGGAGGGTCACTATCAACAGCAGTGAGTGGGATTTCTGCTGACAGCATTCCACAGCATTAATCCACTTCTTATAAATACATACTATAAATACTTATGTCATTATACCCTTCAGGCTATCTTAAAAAAAATTTTTAACCTCTCACTTTGTTTAACTTCAGACCACCCTTTAGTAATCTATTTACTTATTCTGTGGTTTATATTTTTGATAGTATATACTAAGAGTTGTCTGCCCCGAAAGAATAGTAATTCTTAAGTATACACATGCCTGTATCTTCATATTTTAAAAAGAAACTGGGAGATGGTTTTGCAAGACTCATCTTATTCTTAAAAGCAATGTAGGTGATTCTGAGCATTTCATTAGAACTAAACAGCTAATACAAATTATTTTATGCTGAATAGGAAAGTGCTGATTCTATCGCTTAAACTTCATAAAAGAGCTAAAATTTACCTTGTGTGTAGGCATAGTCATCTGATCCAGAACTAGAACTCCTCTGATATTTATGGCCTCCCTTTTCTCCCGCAGAGCCTGGGATCACTGATATGGGCTGAATAGGTTCTGGTGCTGCAGAACGCTCTTCTTGGTCCACTAAATTTAAAAGATTTTCGGTCGTTGTTCGGCCTACAGTTATTTTAAAAACCGTAGTTGGGTTTGGTATCACCCGAGGAGATGGTGATGGAGCACATGAGGGTCCAGTTGGCTGTGTGTATGTGATATACACAGGATTAACACTAAATGGAGGTTTTGGTTGACTAGATATTCCTCTTGAAGGAGAACTTGAAGGTGGCGTGGTGGCTGTGTACATAGAGTGCTGATTCCGTGGAGATGGCTGGTTACTAATGGGTGAAGGACTTCTATTAATTGTTGTTCCGGGTCTTTGAGAGGGTTCAACTGTAATTTCTATCTTCTTCATGGAACCCTTTGGTAAGCTAGATGGTGTGTATGGAAGATAGGCTACTGAGTGGCTTCCCTGTTTCTGGTAGCTAGGAGGTACTTGTTGATATAGATGGGGTGGAGTAGTTGAAGGACTAGGTGGCATGAAGACATGGCCCAACTGGGAAGGTTGCACTTGATGCTGTGGAGAGCTGAAAGGTGAAGGACACTGAGAAGGAGGTGGCGAATGATAGGCCGACTGGGGGATTTGCTGTTGCTTGGGCGAATACTGAGACGGTGGGTAGTTCTGTTGATGTGGATAAACAGGTAAAGGACGTTGACTATAATGAGGCACTGGGCCCTGGGGTGAGGACTGCCATGGAGCACTCTGAGGGGTCTGTCTTCCTGATGAGCTCTGAGATGTCTGTCTAATATAAATAGAACCAGGAGACCCATAGAGATTGCTTGGAATTTGTGGAAGAATCTGCAAAGCTCTTGGTACAGTCTGTCCAGAAGAGAGGTTTTGGGATACTGTAACAGTAATTGGGTTTGTACTATACCGAGGTATGTGCATGTATGATGGAGGTGGTGGCGGCGAAGGCCCTTGCATAGCAGATGGATTCATTCCTGTTTGCATGGAAGATGGCTGCTGAGGTGGTTGTGAAGGAGGAGTAGCTGCACTTCTGTTCTGTTCATTCATAAAAAATGGATTGTAGTTAGGAGTAGCCGCCACAACGGCTGGAGCTGAGTGTGGTTCTTGAACTAAACAAATCAGCTGTTTACCTGCTGTATGCTGCGGATCAATATGTCCATCACTTGAGCTATGTACCAGCGTTCGGCCACCATTAAGCTGAATTCCATCTCCTGGGTGGTAGCTACCAGGAGAATGGATACCCAGGTTAATATGGAGAAGGCGATTTCTATTCATCCTGTTGTCATCTGGACTATGGTATTCCATATATAAGTATTTGCTACTCTCCTGGGAAAGGGCTCGGCAACAAGCTTCAAGATTGTTGTTATTCTAGGAGGAAAAAAAGAGAGAGACACATGGGCAAAATTGAAATACCTAACAGTGAATCAGGCTTTGCTAGAGTGTTGATGCAAATGAAACTGGCATAAAATAGAGAATGGTATTTGAGCCATAAAAAGTTTCAGCCACTGATTCTAAAAGACATCCTGAATGATTCCTATCATTTAAAAAACTAGGGGGGAGGGCTGGGCAGGGAGAAAAGTGAAACACAATGAATGAACAGAAATCCAAAATCTCTGTAAATGTTCACTAAAATTAATAAAATAAAATTAAAAAAATAAAAAAAACATTTAGCTCATGTATTCATACTATCACTACTGCTACTGCTGTGGAAATATGAAGTACCTCCTAATGAACACTGTGACTCTACCTCATTTTCTGACTGCATATCCAGACTCTTTTTATATTTGTTGCATCTCAACAAGTCTCATTAAAATAGGACTAACTGTGGAATCACAGTGGCTACAATATAGAAGTAAAAAAAAAATCCTTACTATTTCAACTGATAAAACATGAAAATAACCACAATTTAGTTTTCAAAAAGGCACTGAAACAAGAAGGGGGGGGCGGAAATTATGGTGGATTTCCAAAAGAGCTAAACCAATAACACTCTAAAGTAATCTTTCTTTTTTTTAAGGCAAACGAAGAGATTAGTCAAAACAGATCAAAAATCATTCATATACATTCTATTTTATATTATTGTTTAATTGGCTTGCTTAGATTTTATATACATTGTGTTTCACATTATTCTTCATTCACATTGTTTCATACAATCATTCTATACATTATTTTCTATAAAATCAATCACTGTTGGACCCTGCCCATGATTGTATGAAATAATGTCAATGAAAGATAGTATAAAACACAATGTATATCAATGAGACATAATGTAATTATTATGTGAAAACTAATAAAATAATTTATAAAAACAAAAAACTCCCTTACATTTTGAACTATAGGTCTATGACTTTATCAAGAGGTATGGTTATGGTACAAAGAAAATCTGATCTCATTCACAATTTCCACAGGGTTTTCCCTGCTGAAGAGTGGCATGGCATACTTTTAAAATCATTATGATGTAAGCTATACACTTACACAAAGATGGTAAGAGCCAGTTGGCATGTAAGTAATTCCAAAAAACAAATGAAACTTTTAAAAAGCTACCTCTTTTTAAAAATGGCATTTCTGTTAGAGCAATTTCCCATTCAATACAGAATTCTAAATTTATCATGAACCTAAAAAGCATACTATTCCTTGCCTCTAAAATAATGTATAAAAATTTCTCAACTAACAGGACTTTCTCTGTAGCTCATAAATATACCTCTTTATATATTTGTTCACACACATACCTCTTTTGTATTTGTTCATTCTGGGGGGAACTACATGTTATATAAGCATGAAAGAGAATGCTACACTTCTGCTGAGAACCAAGTAAGGTGGACCCTAAAACAGGACATACAGTGATGTACACAGAGTTCATCAATATCAATTTTGACTCAACTCACATTTAAAGACAGGAAAACCATGCCTGTGAAACATAACAGACACTAGTTAACTAGATTTTTGATCTCCTATTGTGCAGTGTTCTTTCAACTCTAAGATAGTGATTTCAAGGAAAAGGATGTTAATTTGTAAGTAAATTATATTAGGGTTTTAGGAAATCAAAGAAGGTTCAGTCACTGAGCTTTTACAAAGCTGGTTTTACACTTTTACCACTTTTATAAAGTGGTTTTGTCAGTATTCCTTGAATAATTTACATCCACTTTATTTAAAGATTTTTATGCTGAAATTCAAGTACTTTTAAAAATACCTTTTGAGTCATACAAAGGAGTATTAGTTGAATTTAAGAAGAAAATTATTAGAACTCAGAGGTCTGGCTTTTTTCTTTTTTTAAAAAAGTCAACTTGAAATTTATGCTGAAAAAGGGAAAGAAGGTAAATATTTAAAAGAAAATTTGTAGCCAAAGGATTCATATTGATTGCTAATCAGAAAAATGTCATCTGACAGATACCTAAAGATTTGTATAAATCTATTAGTATTTGCAAACTACAACAACTTTACTACTAGATCTTTTCATTAATAATTTTTTTATTTTATTATTTTTTTTTTTTTGTGTATGTACCGTCAAATCAGATCTGACTGGTACAGGAGGAAATTGTCCCTCCTTCTCCCGCAGAGCATCTGGTGGATTTGAACCGTGTACCTCTGGGATTGCAGTACAGCTTCTTGCCACTAGACCACCAGAGCTCCTCTTCATTAATAATTTTTAAGTTTCCTCTACACTGAATTAGATAGCCTAATTAGTACCTACTATCACTGCAAAAAAAGAATACAAAATTGAATTTGCTAGCAGAGTCAAACACAGGGTCAAGTGGGGTAAATTTTTCTATGAAAAAAAATTTAAAACCACAAGTATGAGACATTGAAGTACATAATTTTGGAAATATTCTATAAAAAGAATACCACCAGAATAGATTCAAATGTTGTGTTTCACCTTCTAAATTTTTTTTAAAGAACAAAAAAGTATTAAAAAGGAAAAAATTATTAAAGCAAAATTTAAGAAGGTATAAAATTAAAAGTTTTGAAAGGAGTGGGGGATTGGAAACCTCATACTCTTTTTTTTGGAAACCTCATACTCTTAAAATATGATCCTATATTGAGGAATTATTACCCAAAGAGAAGCCTTACAGCTTGTGTAACAAAAATGCATATGGAATCCACCAGCTGCTCCACAGGAGAAAGATGGGCAATCTCCTCCCATATGATTAACTGCCTCTGAAAATCTGCTGGAGGGTCAGCTCCTCTCAAGGGTATATAACAGCAACAACCAAGTTTCATATATTTTAATGCAAGATAGACACTGTGCAGACAGTGGGTTGAAAATCTCCACATCTATATACTCTTAATCTCCAAAGGAAAGAAAAATGAAAGACTTAGGACAAAGAGTTACATACAATAAATTATCAATTGCTGTTGTTAGGTGCTGCAAATCAAGTACAACTCATAGCAACCTTATGGACAGCCAACCTGAACCCTGCCCTGTCCTGTGCCATCCTCATCATCTCTGAGATACTAGAGCCCATTGCTGAAGTCACAGTGTCAATCCATCTCATTGGAGGTCTTCCTCTTCTTCATTCACTATCTTTCCATGCAAGATATCCCTCTCCAAGAATAGCCTCATCTAGCTACATGTCCAAAGTATGAAAGACGAAACTTTGCCATCTTTACCTCCAAGGAGAACTCCAGCTGTACTTTTTCCAAGACACATCTGTTTGTTCTACTGGCAGTCTATGGGATAAGTCAATACTCTTCTCCAGCCTCACAACTCAAAGGCATCAGCAGTTCTTCTGTTACCCTTATTCATTGTCCAGCTCTCTGATGCACAGAAGATGCATTTATGCCCTGAATTAGGTGGATTTTAGTCTTCAAATTGACATCACTGCTTTTCAGCATTCTGGAGAAGTCTCTGACAGCAGACCTGCCCAATGCCTGATGACCTGACTGCTGGTACCAAGGGTGTTGACTGTTGATCCAAAGAAGATGAAATCATTGACAGTTTCAATCCTTCCTCCACCTATTATAATACTGACAGTTGGTCCTATGGTAAAGATCTTTGTTTTCTTGATGTTGAGATGTAATTCATACTGAAGCAAGCAAATCCTCCTGACTTTCAGCAAGCAAAGTTTGGTCATCTGCATAAAGCAGGTGGTTGATAAGTCTTCCTCATAGAGTCCAGCATCTTGAATTATTTGCTCAGCATACAGACTTAACAAGTATGGAGAAAGGATATGACCCTAATGCACACCCTTCCTGATCTTAAACCATGTATTGTTCCCCCGCTCTGTTTGGACAATAGCTTCTTGGTCTTGGTATAGATTATGTTTTAAAACAATTAAGTGTTCTGAGATTCCCATTCTTCTCAATGTTAATCATAATTTGTTATGATCCACACAGTCAAAATGCCTTTCCACAATCAATAAAACACAAATAAACATTTTTCTGGTATTCTTTGCTTTCAGTCAGGATTGATTTGACATCAGTATTGATATCCCTGGTGCTGTGGCCTCTTGGACTTTTTTCTGGTAGTCTCCTATCAATGTAATGTTCTAGCTGGTTTTGTTTTTTCCCCTCGTGTCTTCAATAATATTTTGCTTGGATGAAATTATCAATAGATATTATTTAACGAGGTGAACTTAAAGTTCCAATCCTTCAGTTAAGTGAGATAGAGAGACACAGACATGACAAAACTATTGGTAATAAATGGCTAAATAATTGAGAAGGAAAAAAATACTCAACAAACAAGGTCCTCCACAGCTCAGCTGGCCCCTAGGATGGGTGAGGAAGGGGACTGCTAGAAAGTGATTGAAACATGAAGCCTCACAAGTTTCATTCAACTCAGAAGTACCCTGCTTCTTCCAGAAGTAAAATGGGGTTAAGTTCTGAGATTCAGACTGGGAACATGCGTTGAGGGGGTTGGGGGCAGAAATGCTAGACAAACACAAAAATCAAAACCAGGAAGCAGTTCAAAGGTCTGGTTCTTGTATAAGGACTTGCAAACAAAGAAAGTGCCTGCTCCCCCACCATAGGTAGTGATGAACTTCACCTGTGTTCACTCACACTGCACTGTCATGTGCCATCTAGCTGGAATCCATTCACCGCTGACCCTCCAGTAGGTGTTCAGAGGCTGCCAGTCACATGGGAAGAGACTGTCCATCCTTCTCCCACAGAGCACCTGGAGGATTCGAACCACCTGGCCTTTGGGGTGGCAGTGCACCAGGCCACCAGAGTGCTCTGTGTTTCTCACACTGCACTAAGGAAGTTAATAGAAATAGACTAAAAATTTTAAAATGTGGGTAAATGGAAGGAGCTCCCAGTTTAAGATCGGTTTGGAAGCAGGAGTGGCATCCACTTCCTAGACCACATGCCTCTGGAAACTATGAACTTGGAGACATGATGATAAAAAAAGGCTTCAGGTCTTTCGTTCATAGGGTCGCTATGAAGCGTGCTTGATTCGATGGCAATCAACAACAACAAATGGAAATGATAACTAGAATGGGAAGAATATATGTGTCAGAGCCGGGCTAGAAACTCAATACCCCTCTTAGTAAACAAGAGCAGCACACGTGTTGCAGAGCAACTATAACTCTTGGCCCTTGGATTTTGAGCCGAACTGGAAGCAATGGCACCTTGTTCAAAGACGGCAGCTGTGTGGTGCTCTCCACAACCCTGCCAATATTTGAGTCCCCCACAGAAGGCCCCTAAAAGGACTCACTCTGTCTCTCCTCAGCCTCACATTTCAAGGTTTCAACCTGCAATTTTTCCCATTTGCATGACATGTCGTTAGCCAAGACTGAACCTGTTCAAAGCTTTGGTTTTAATGAGTACTGACTGTGTGTGAGGAACATCCGTGGACTGTGCTGACATGCTTCTCCCAAAAGTTATCCAAAGGAAGAAAAACCATAATCAAAAGCACATTGAGACCTTGTGAAGGATGATGCGAAATTCAGTGGAGGGAGCTTTATGTTTTGTTTTATTGTTGCTCCTGTAGTGAGAAAATATACTACCAGTGAAACCAACTATTTATTTTAATAGGCACCAGCAGTCAGGAAATCAAAAAGCGTATCGCAATGGGAAAGTCTGCTGTTAGGGACCTCTCTAAAGTACTCAGGAGCAACGGTGTCTCTCTGGAGACTAAGGTGCGCCTGATACAGGCCATGGTTTTTGCAATCGCTTGTTATGCATCAGAGAGTTGGACAATGACTAGGGAGGACAGAAGGAGAGTTGATGCCTTTGAGCTGTGGTGCTGGAAAAGAGTACTGAATGTACCATGGACTGCCAGGAAAACAAACAGATCCATCTTGGAGAGGATTAAACCAAGCTACTCCTTGGAGGCAAGGATTCTGGGGCTTCGTCTGACATACTTTGGACATGTTGCCAGGAGGGATGGGTCCTTGGAGAGGGACATCATGCTTGGGGGGGTGGAGGGACAGCGCAGGAGGGGAAGAGCCTCTATGAGATGGATTGATTCTGTGACTGGGGTAATCTGGATGGGTGTGTCAGAGGCAGTGTTGTTGGCGCAGGATAGAGCAGGGTTTAGGGCTGTTGTGCATAGGGTCGCTATGAGTCGCAAACGACTCGACGGCACATAACAACAACACAACATTATTGTTGTTAGGTGTCATCAAGTTGACTAAGACTCATAGCAACCCTATGAACAACAGAGCTATTGCATATGATTAAATTAAAAAATAGTCATACATTTTTTAAAAATTGACTCAACAGTATGTATTATTGCTGCTGTTAGGTGCCTCTGACTTGTAGCTACCTTATGCATAACCGAATGAAATACTGGTCAGTCCTGTGCCATCCTCACAACCATTTATATTTAAGCCCTCGCTTAATATTGATACATCTGACATTCAACTGTGAGGATTTGGGAACTAATAGCACAATCTATGAAATTAAAAAAATGAAAGGTGGTTTTGGGTTCCCCCCTCCTCCCTTTCACCACACGCCTTCACTCTTTTCTCTAAATTAGTGATTCTCTATGGGGAGAGATTTTGCAAGACATTTGGCAATGCCTGCAGACACTTTTGGTTGTCACAACTTGTGGGGGAAGGGGAGTTTGCTATTTGCATCTAGTGGGTAGAGACCAGAGATGTGAAGTATCCTATAATGTGTAGGACAGCTCTCACCAAAAAAAACCCCTACCAACCAAAAGTGTCAGTAGTGAACGCTAAGGTTAGAAAACCTTGCTCTAAGTGACTTCTCCCCTATAAGAAAACTAAGGTCTAGTCACCACAACACAAGCTAATTCTAAAAGTAAACATATCATCTCCTAATCATTGGTAGGTAATCTACCTGTAACATGCATTGAGAGACCACGCCCTCCGGAATCTCAGGGAAGCGTTGCCGGAGATCATGGAGAACCTGAATATCCAGCTGAGGACTGCTTTGCGCCATGCCAGAGCAAGTGGTGATCAAGTTTCTCTTAAGGAATGGATGTCAACAGGTTTTCCAGAAACAATGATCTGCCAAAAGCACTGTCATTTTCTGTTGAAAGAAATCAAAGTGAAGTTAAGTTTAATGACATATTTCACTTCAGTCAAATCCTTACCAGCAACTACCTTTATTTAAATGGGGAATTCTAAAATTAGTATGCTTCCCTTCAGAGTTGTAAAATTCATGAACACAACTTTGCCAGAATTTTCTAGGTAATATAAGTAAAATCAGTAGTTAAAAAAGCAAAACAAAAGCTTGCAACATCAGGGAGGTAAAGGGAAAGAGCGGACAGTAAAAATTGGTAAATAGATAACAGATACACAGTAAGACGTACGAAAGGAAAGTCAGTAAGAGTCATTTAGGGCATGGCTGATGCAGTAGCACCAAAGGAAAGGAAGACACAGAAAGATTTAGAAAGGTTAACTAAAGTCTGAAGAAAAGCGGGAAAAGTACAATTACACAGCCGGTACTGAAATTAATGTTCTAGAACAAATGTGTATAAATGGTTGAATAAAAAAGTAATTTGCTTTGTAAACTCACTCAAATCACAATTTAAAAAAAACAAACACACCCTACCATTCCATTTTAATAAAAAGGTTTTTTTTTAAAGCAGCAGCAAGATTAAAAATACAGAGCGGTAGTAACTGGCAAACATCTTTCTAGCCTTGAGAAATTCTACTTGTGTATACATAATCACTCATACTTTTCTCAAGGGCTATCTACATCACCGCTCCAAATCAGAAGACTTAATCTGATGTCTGAAATAAAAAAAACCTTCATGAAACAAGGAATTAAAAATATCACAAAGTAGACTTGTCCCATCTTCCTTCTATACTCTCTGAACTTAGTAGTCCAAAGGCTTGAATCCGAGTAAAGAAAATTCAATATCTAAGTGAAATATCTGGGCAAATAAAAATGGAAAATCAAAGTCCTTTGTTTTCAACGATGTTGATGCTAGCTTCTCATTAGCCAGACTCTCCTAGTGAGGATCTCACCTAATTCTGGTGCCACTGGCACCAGAGGGTAAAATTGATGGGTACGGCTTCAGTAGAGGAAACTGATCAATATCACAGGCACTAGTCAAGTTAACTACAAATATAAATAAGACACTTCTAGTTTTGTACCATCAGGTCAGAACTGACTCATAGCTGACCCTCCAGCAGGTTTTCAGAGGCAATAAATTACACAGGAGACTGTCCATCCTTCTCCTGCAAAGCAGGTGGTGGATTCAAACCATATACCTTTGCATGTTGTTGTTGTTGTTATGTGCTGTCGAGTCGCCTGCGACTCATAGCGACCCTATGTACAACAGCCCTAAACTCCGCTCTGTCCTGTGCCAATAGCACTGTCTCTGACACTCCCATCTCAATGATCCCAGTCACTGAATCAATCCACCTCATAGAGGGCCTTCCTCTCCTGCGCTGTCCCTCCACCCTCCCAAGCATGATGGTCCCTCTCCAAGGACCGATCTCTCCTCACAACATGTCCAAAGTATGTTAGACAGAGCCTCAGAATCCTTGCCTCCAAGGAGCCACCCAGTTTAACCCTTTCCAGGACAAATCTGTTTTCCTAGCAGTCCATGGTATTCTCAATACTCTTCTCCAGCACCACAGCTCAAAGGCATCAATTCTCCTTCTAGCCTCCTTGGTCATTGTCCAACTCTCTGATGTATAACAGGTGATTGCGAAGACCATGGCCTGTATCAGACGCACCTTAGTCTCCAGAGAGACAGCACTGCTCTTCAGCACTTTGGAGAGGTCCCTAACAGCAGACTTTCCCATGGCAATACGTCTTTTAATTTCCTGGCTGCTGGTGCCAAGACTGTTGACTGTGGAGCCAAGCAAACTAAAGCTGTGTACAATCTCAATCTCTTCACCATCCATCCTGATGCTGCCGATTGGTCCAGTGGTGAGAATCTTTGTGTTCTTGACATTGAGCCTCAATCCATATTGGAGGCTGCAGTCCTTGACACTCTGCAGCAGGCGCTTCAGGTCCTCCTCAGTTTCAGCAAGCAGGGTTGTTTGCATAGGCAGTGCAATTCTTTAAATTGGCAGCATCAATGGTCAATAAACTGGTCTTCTTCTTAATCTGTTTTCCATTTAAAAAAGCAAAAATGTGCAGTGTATACCATGTTGCTGTTATGTGTCATCGAGCCAGAACTGACTCATAGCTGACCCTTCAACGGGTTTTTAGAAGCAATAAATCACACAAGAGGAGACTACCCAGCTGTCTCCCATGGAGCTGCAGGTGGATTTGAACCATGTACCTTTGGGTTAGCAGTGCAATTCCTTACCACTAGACTTCCAGCACTACACTATTTACTAAATAGTCAAATATTTTAAAGTTGGAGAAAATAAATAGCTGTGTCTTCATAGGAGGCACAGAAACAACAATATAAGGACCAAATCTTTTGTTTCTTACAATCAGGCCTCAGAACTTTAATCTATTGGTAGAGCAACACAGAGAACCTCAAGAAGATTGTATTTAAAAAAAAAAACCCTTTTAAAAAAATTAATGAAAGTTTACAGAAAGGCTGGGCTTTCCTTCATTCATTCATGTATTTTCCTCCCTTCCCCACCTTTGTCCCTCCAATTCACTTTGTACTGTACTTCTTCCAGATTGCTCAGAAATATAATTGTTGTCATACATATAAAGCTTCATCATACATTCGTTTCTTTCCTCTGTTCCAGTGTAGTATTCATTACCTATCCACTCTCTTCCTGTTCTCCCTCCACCCTGTTAATCCTATTATATAACAGAGATCTTACACAGTATTTGTCCTTTTGTGGCTGAGATATTTCATTTGGCATGTCTTCCAGATTCATCCATGTTGTGTACTGTTTTACAACTTTCTTATTTTCATTGCGGCCTAATACTCCATTATATAGATGGTTCATAGTTTTTCTAGCTATTAATTTGTTTTCAGGCAACTGGACTGCTTCCATCTCTTTGCTATCGAGAATAATGCTGCAATAAACATGAGTGTGCATACACCTGTTTGTGTCACGACTTGAATTTCTTTAGGGTATATTCCCAGGAGTAGGATAACCAGGTCAAATGGTAATTCTACAGCCAAACTCTGAGAAAGTGCCAACATTTTTTTAGAAAAAAATTTGAAAATACTGAGTTACTTTTGTTGGTTTATGACTGTTGTGTGCTATCAAGTAGGACTGACTCATAGCTGACCCTGCAGTGGGTTTTCAGAAGCAGTAACTCACATGAGAAGAGACTATCTTTCTCCCATGGATCATCTGGTGAATTTGCACTGCCTGTCTTTGGTTTGGCAGCTCAGCTCTTTACCATTAGGCCACCAGAGCTCCCTTATAATTAAGTGCATAATTTAAAAATAAATGCCATATAAACACAAATCTGAATTTCATTAGAAAAATTCAAACTCACTACCATCAAGTTGGTTCTGACTCACAGCAACCCTCCACTGGGTTTCCAAGGCTGTTTCATCATAAAGGAAGGAGAATGCCCATCTTTCTCCCAAGGAACCATGAATGGATTGGAACTGCCTGATGGGTCATCAGCATAACTTCTGCAGGAACAGAACAAAGCTATTTTGCATATAACGTCTTGACTTTTATTAGGTGTCTGTCTCTCCTCTGCTAAGTCAATATTCTCAAAGTGTTACATACATTCATTGTCTGGTGGATAGCTACGAAGCCCCCTGTATATGGCTCTGCCTTTCCTCAGGTAAAAGCCTAAAACAATTAAGGGGTTGTTTTAATGACATGGTAAAGCTTCGCCTCTCACACTTTGGACATATTGCTCACAGACGCTATTCCTTGGAAAGGGACATCATGCTTGGAAGGGTGGAGGGCCAGCAAAGGAAAGGAAGACCCTCATCAAGATGGACTGACACAGTGACGGCAGCAATGTATGGTGAGGATGGCACAAGATAGGACAGGGTTCAGATCTGTTGTTTATAAGGTTGTAATGAGTCGTACTGGACACAACAGATCCAAACAACAATACTCATTAACACAGATGTCTAAAGGGAGTAATGAAAATGAAATTGTGAGAACGGCAACTTCTGAGTCATATGTGTATGGGCTATATGGTCATCTGGTATTGCCCTGTCACTACATTTCACTCCTCACTGTACCCTAATCAGGCCATCACACATTCAAACATTCTCCACCATTGCTCCGATGTTAAATACAGAGGGTATCTTCTATCCCTTGTGCCCTCTGCAATATCTAATACTACTAATCCTTCCTCCCCCCATTCATTCTTTTCTTCAGCCTCTACCATGTCACACTAGCCTGGTTTCCTCCCACCTCTCTCATCACTTTTTTTTAATGTTGAAATTTCCCTGAGTTTTGTCCTACGCTGTCGCCTCTTCTCATCCTCTTGCCCAAGATATCCAAAATGAAACTTATCTCCTCACTACAACTCTTCTCACAATATTCTGTTCAGTCCTTGAAAGTTACCATTAATTAGAAAGTGTTAGTTACTATTCAATATTCTCTTGTTAACACTGCTGCAGTAGCTTCCTGCTGGACTTTTTGCCTCTGGTTTTGCCTTTTCCACATAACTCTGCCTGAGTACCTGTTTTCTAAAATACAAATCTGATCATATCCCCTCCACTCAGCATTCTGGAAAAAAAATACAATCATGCGTGATTGTGTTATATGCCCTTCTTTTAGGGAATCAGCCCAAGATCATCCATATGTCTGAGACTTTTGTACATTTATCTTCAATTTGAGATACTTAATTCATGTGAAACCTATACATAGACCAAGAAGCTGTTGTTCCAACAGAGCAAGGGAACACAGCATGGTTTAAAATCAGCAAAGATTTGTGTTGAGGTAGTATCCTTTCTCCACACGTATTCAGTATGTATGCTGAGCTAATAAATCTGAGATATATGAAATAATAATATGAAGAAGGAGCAAGTTTGGAGGAAGACTCATCAACAGCCTGTGTTATGCAGAGGACATAACCTTACTTGTTGAAAGTAAGGAAAACATGAAGTAAGTACTGCAGAAGATCAAAGACTATAGCCGTCAGTAAGAATTACATTCCAACAAGAAAACAAAATC